TTCTTTGAATGTTTGTGAGAATATAATGATGTCGTCTAGGTAGATTAGCATTTCCTTCCATTTCATATCCCAAAAAACTTGGACTGCTAGTTCTTGGAAAGTGGCTGGAGCGTTGCATGATCCAAAACTTAAAATATTAAATTCGTAAGTCCCATGTCCTTGCGCCACGAAGACAATGTATTGCTTGGACTTCTCTTCGACTGGAACTTGCCAATATCCGGAAAACATATCAAGTGTGCTGAAACATTTTACATTGCCCGAGTATGACAAAATGTCATCGATCTGCGGTAGTGGGTATGTTGATTTTTTTGTTACTGTGTTAACCTTTCTGTAATCTACACAAAATCTTGTTTTTCCATCTTTTTTCTTAACTAGCACTACAGGGCTAGCCCATGGAGAGTAGCAAGGCCGAATTACTTCGCTATTGAGCATTTCCTGGATTTGTTCGTCAATAATCTGTCTTTCTTTTTGTGACACTCTGTATGGGCGGCTCTTTATTGGTCGAGCCTCTCCGACGTCTATTATGTGTTTTCTTAAGTTTGTCTTTCCCATATGTTTTGTAGATTTCACGAAAACGTCGTTGTATTCCAGAAGGAGTTCTTTGAGTTCATGCCTGTTCTTCTCGTTTGTGATGCTGTTTAACTTATGATGTTCCATTTTTATTTCTTCGCTCTCATCATTTTCTGCTCGCAACATGAAATTGTGTGAAAGATTTGTCTCTGATGCTGTTTCTGCCAAAAATGACATTGTGATTCCGGCGTATATAGCTACTGGGTTCCTTGTGTTTGATTGTACTTTTGAAATGAGGCTACCTTCATTGGTGTGAATGTGCGTTTTTAGTTCAAGATGATTTTTTGCTAACCAGTCTAAATTATATTTGCATGCATACATAGTTTTATCTTTAATCTTACTAGGTTTGCCCATAATATCTAATTCCATAATGTTTTTAACTCACTCACCGTATAATCTTTTTTTGTACCCAATTTATATGTCTTTTTCTTAGTTTCTGTACCGATTTGCATCAGATGCCTGATTTCTTCTTCCTGCTTTTCTTCTTTAGCTTTATACCCAGGTTTTTCCCTCTAAATGTGAATTTGGACCCCTGCATCTTCAAATAGAAAATATATCATCTGTTTAAATCTAGCCCATTCTTTTTCTAATCCCCATCCTTGCCTTGGGATGATTTATTTTTTGATGGATTTATTTTTTGAGATATTGTTCCTCAGTGCTGTAAGACATTTATACATGTTTCTTGGACTTGGCTTCTCCTTCATTGATTCACTTGTGAATAGAAAACTTACTGATTTTTTCCCTTGTTTTGACATAGATAGCTCCCCAATGGTCCCTTTCTCTCTGTTTTTTGGAATCATATGCTTATACATATTTTCTGAAAACTGAACTCGTTCGTTAGGACGTCTATGTTTCCATATTCTTCTTTCAGGAGACCGTTAACCTGGTCATCTTTTATGTGAATGTGCTCTCTTACAAACTTGTTAAACTCTTGTTCATCTCTTGAAGTATCTAGTTTAAGCTATCTCGTTTTGCTCGGCTGTTTTGTTGTGACCAGACCTGACATGTTGATTTTTTCGTTATTCATTTGTCTTAGAGGTATTTCATACTGACCATTCAGAATCAGTTTTTTCCTTGGGAGATCTATGATCGCGTTATTTTTTGTCAAAAACTCCATGCCTAGGATTATTGGTTGAGTTAATGATAAAATCACTTTGGCGTTTAGTCTTCCCTTCCATTTTTGACTCCCTGGTATAACTTCGATGTCTCCCAAAATTTTTATCTGGTGTCCTCCTGCAGTGACTAGAACCGTGTCATCATTTATTGTTAGTTCCTCTTTGATTAGACTTCTTTGTAGAACGCTATCTTGTGCTCCTGTATCCACGATTGCTGACATGTACTTATTATTTAATCTAATTTTGATGTGCAAGATACCTATGTTATTGTTCTTCCCCAGGGTAAGGATAACAGGGGCTTTTAATTTTGCCATCCCTTCTCGTTTGGGTTTTGTCGTCGGGTTGTACAGGTGTTTGCATAGTGACCCTGTTTTCCACAAATAAAGCAACCAGGATTGTTTTTGTTTCGTGGCGTATACGATTTGTTCCTTTGAGGCTGGCTTCTGCATACTGTTGCAGTATGTCCTGTTTTCCCACAGTTGTAACAAACGGGGGCAATTTTGGGGTTGGAGTTATGATTTCTCATCTTTTGACTCCTACATACTGCTGCGAAATGTCCTGTTTTCCCACAATTATAACACGTTTGGCTAAATATTGGTACTCTTGTGCTTGTGTGTTCTCCTTGCATTCGGATCCTGCAGGTGGCCATTACATGTCCGCTTTTTCAACAATAATGACATATCTTTAGTTCTGTATCTGTGATTGTATTTCTTTCCGTACAGCTGGTAATTTGGGTATCTTGCGTTGCACCTCTCTTCGGAGCTTTATCTATTGTGTCTGCTATTTCTTTTAATTGTATAAGTGATGTTGGTGGCTTGTTCGGCGGGTTTGTTAACCAGTAGTAAGTGTAATGATTTGCCTCCGTCAATCCTTCGCTGAAAATCCTTACAAATTCTTGTATATCAAATGTATGTGTGTAATTGTGGTATAATACATGTAAATCGTACAAGTATTCCTTGACTGACTCATCTTGACCTTGTTTTCTGTTTTCGACTTTTTTCTTGAGTGCCCTTTGGTAATCTGTATCCTCAAATTCCTCTGAAAAATCTTTGACAATGTCTTTCCAGCTGTTGTTTTGGTGGTCGCGCTTATACACCTGCAATCACAGGTTTGCGGCTCCGTCTAAATATGTTTCAAAATAAACAATTTTCAGCTTTTCGTCCCATCCATTTGCTATCGCCAATCTGTCATATGTTCTTAGGAACTCGATCGCGCTGGTTTTACACGGCTGGAAGGTTTGAGGGCTGATAAACTGAGGCAACTTTGCCTGTTTCTGCGCTGTCATAGCGTCAGTTATTGTGGTGTTCGCCATTATATCTGGATGTTCCACTTCCTCTTTTGATGGTTGCCTGGGTTTTGGTGCTTCTTTAAGGGTAAGGTCTGGTGGGCTACCAAAAACACTGTCTTCTTCGTAGCCTGCTTGATTATTTGCTTGGTTTTCTATCTCACCTTCAATTTTTTTTAAACTGATCTTTGAAGTGACCTTCTTGACTGAGAAAACGAGTATTCAAATCCTGTGCTCCTATGAGACGGTCTGAATGATTCTTTTGGTGTTGTAGCTGCTGAGTTCTTTGGCCTCAAGTTGTATGCTCGCTTATCTGACATCTATATCGCATCTGGCAAGCTGTTCAAATATTTCTGATTTAGAAGAAAAAAAAAATCACCTTCGCCACCGTGTCGAATATGCCAAATATGTCACAATTTATTCTTCTGTCCTTTCTTCACCTTCGCCACGGTGTCGTGAATTTTGCTTGTGTGCTTTCGTCACGGTACCGTGTGTCGACGCACCACGTCGTGACGTGTTTGGGCGTTGGCTTTCTTCAAAGGCGTCTTACGACGTCGGTTCTTGCGCGTCGGTTTCGAGACGGCACCTCCACCAAATATGTCGCAACTGCCCGCTTTACGGGGGTGACATGGGGGGTTTGTAGCTTTGGGGGTTGATGGAGTGAAACTCGCTCAGGTTATATAAAAATATAGATATGTATATATTTTCCCAAATATGTCTTTACATGTACGCTAATCCTATAAGATGCATGACCCTTCGAACACTGGGGTCCTTATATGAAGCCACACGTCAACGCTGCTTGGAAGACTGTAGATTAGTTTATCCCTTATGCCTTGTCCAGAGGGGCGTTCCCAACGAGAGGTAATTGCACTGGACAACGATAAGGCTGAAGATACCCAGAGGGGCTTTCCCAACGAGAGGTACTTGCACTGGGGAGACTTAATTCCAGAGGGGCTTTTCCAACGAGAGGTACTTGCACTGATTGAAGTCTGCCTTTGCTGCGGCTCGCGGCGCAGTTTATATCAATTTATTGCTGAATTGCAATAAACATCCGATCGAATCGGCAATTAAATTAATAAGGTTAAATACCGGGTCCTCCTTTTCTTAGCAGCTAGTTGACAATATCAAATTTTGATAAATCAATTTTATCCGATGTCCTTAAAGAATTTGTAAACCCATTATATTCGAAATAGCGACCATTTTGAAACAAGTATAGCATCCCATTAATGTATCTGTCCATAGATTCAGGTATTCCAATAAAGTCCTTTTAAATGTATCCAAATTTCTCCACAGCATGGTTACATTCATTTATTTCTAAATAGTAATTATCCTCGAAAAAGTAAATAGTTTTTCCAGCATACGAATTTACTGCGCCTATTATTTTCCTATTGTTGAATTGAGCAGCAATTGTTTCAGAAACGTTCGATTTTCTTATCAACTGAAAGTTTTCATCGTTGATGGTGAATATTTCAGATTGGCTCACCTGGATTAAGCCCCTTCAATTTGAGACTCCTACGATGACGTCACTCTTGGGTTAGGCCCCCTTCAGTTTGGGGCTTGCCCGAAAATGGGGCTCACGTACAAAATGGGGCCTACGAAATGGTGCACAGGCCCACCTGGGTTAGGCCCCTTCAATTTGAGACTCCTCCGATGACGGGCGCGGGCCCCAGAACGAATGACAGCTCACTTCCGCTCCAAAATCCGCTTAGTATATCTACTTCGAATTACACATTACAAAGAAAGAAGGAACGATTACTTCTGAACTCGCTCTTGAATAGAAATAAAGAAATATGACGCAAGCCCGTAACAAAAAACTTCACTTTCCCACCTGCTTACCACAGGCTGCGCGCGCCGATTCAGGTATTACGAGACAGGTCAATTCAAAAAAATACCAGTCAACATTCAATTGGACACTTATTGTCAAAGTCAGACTATCAATCACAAACTTTTTTATCGACAAGACTTTTTCATATCAGTTCATACGCATAACAAAATTAAACAGTAAATAATTCACCATATAAATCAAGAGTATGGCGTCACTTCAGCAGGAAACTACCAAGCAAAGAGGCCCCGATGAAAAAGAAATCCTTTCGCCCAGTAAAGTTAAAGAAACTCCCGGTACAACTCGTAATAATATTCGCAATGCTAAGCGCGCACCAATGAGTGCCAGTGATGTATTTTCCAAACCAAAATTTGTCCCAAAGCCACTTAGTAGAACACCCAAGTCAGCTATACGATCATCACCGCAGTCTCAAGCGCCTCCACCTCCTATGTCCGAAATGTCGAATATACCAGTCGCAGCAGCTAAACAAACAGGAACCATCAGTCGTCCTAATAGAGGCCTAAACGACAGACACACTTTGGAAATTCAATTTATCAATAAAAATAAAAGTTATTTACGAATGAAACAGGACTTGGAAGGAAAACAGAAACCCGTTTTGGATTTATATAAAAATTTAACCCAAATCAAGATGCGATTGGAAGACTTAGGCAAAACTGTTAGACTAGAAGACGTTAAAATGGTTAGTGTAAGCGAATATGGAAATACCTCAAGTGAAGGCACTCCAGGAAATTTGTCCAAAGAAGTTGTAGAAGAAATGGTAATATCTATTGAAAAAATCCCAAAAATTTTCTCAGATGTTTGCAAGAATCTTCTAACCAAAAGATCTTTAATGATAGAACTTTTAGACAGCGTTTCCAAGTCCGAAATAAACAATTCTGACGTATCAGATAGAATAGACTCTTTAAAAATTGAAAGCACGCAGATTCAAATATCTTTAGATAACATAATAACTGATATTCAAACTAAAATAACCGATCTAACAGCTAAATGGAGCGTAGCAAGTTCAAACCATCAATCAGACGATGAAGCCAAAGAATTAGATATTAAATATAAAGAACAACAAAAACTAATGCTCGAATGGAACCTGGTTATTAGCAACTACCAAAAAAAATCCGAAGCTGGTAAAGTAGCTCTTGAAAAATCAAATAAAACTATTCACGCTTTAGAAGACAAGATTAAAATGCTCGAGCACGATTTAGAAATTGAACGTAAAACATCCACCGATGTTAAAGGTAGGAACCATACCAATATACATAGTATTAAATCAATGAAAGCTAAAATGATCGAATTGGAGGAAGCAAAGAAACATTCAGAAATCACTTGTATTGAGTCTCAAAAAAATCAAAAACAATTGCAAGAGGAATTGAGGTTTAAAGAAGCTAAATGGATGAAAGAAAAAGAAGACATGATCAAAACCTTCAATCAACAAAATAGTATTTTGAATAAATATGCCAGTGAAAAAACAAACTATGCGACTACATTGGAAGCTGTCGAAACCCAAAAGTTAACCACAGAAGACGAATTAAACAATCAAATTGATAAACTAAACAACTATATAATAAATCTTGAAAATAAAAGTGAAGAACTTACAAAAGAAAGAAATGAAGCCAAAGAAAAATGTGCTCAGTTTGAAGCTAACATTAGTCGCATGGGATTGGATTTTAAAGAAACCATGAATAAAGTTTTTGTCAGTATGAAAAACGGTAAAGATGTTGTTAGTGAAAATGCTGAGCAGCTGAGAGAACATATGGCCAAAGATCTAGAAATAAGAGAATTAAAAGACAAACTTAATAAGCTAGAAAGGGATCGATTGTTTTTTATCGAGGAACAGAAACTGTACCAAGAAAAACAAAAATTTCAAACTTCTGATATTGATAAAGAATTATCGAAGCAAAAAGAATGCATAATATCCTATAAGAGGCTTTTGGAAGACAGCGAAGATAAACTAAAAGAAAAATCTAATGAAGTAGAATATCTTAAAACTGAAATAAGGCAGCTAAAAGTTAGGCAAGAAGCACTGGAAGAGCAAAATTCCAGATGTCCTACAGACGAATTACAAAGAATTGTTGAGGAAGGCAGACACAAACTAAATCAATTAATAAAAAAGTCCCTAGACAGTGAGCAAAAAATGGAACAATATATAGACACTATAGAAAAGCAAGCAAAACAAATGAGCGAAATGGAAAATTTAATAAGGTACAAGGAAAATCTAATCAACATTATTAAAGCAGCCAGAGTCAATATTTTTAAGGAAAAAGAAAGCATAACAAGATACTCTCAAGAGCTGCGCTCGGCTTTAGCCGAAGTGACCGGAGAAATCAAAATGAAAGACGCTCTTCTTATGAAACAGCAAGACCAACTCGAGTTACGGGAAAAGCAAATAGACAAACTTGAAAAAGTTGTAAAAGAACATGAGGACGAGGTTGTGGCAGCGAACGAGAAAAGATTCAAGATTCAGCATAAGCTGCAAGCAACGGAAGGAGAATTGCAAAAATGTAAGACACAATTGGCTGATTTCAATTTGAAAAGTGGACGTCCAAAAGTGAAACCTTTTTAAAGGGGATTTGTACTTTTTATGTTTGATCATTTGAAAAATAAAACATCAATTTAGAGGCAGAAATATAATTTGCATTTTTATTCATTAGGTTTACCTTCCACCATACCATTCACCTTTGTTGATAAACTTACATAGTTTCTGATATTTTCTTTCGCTAAGGTTTTGTAGTTTTGCAGCTTGCTAGTGATTCTTGAATTCCCTTCACATTTTACTGTCCCAAACAAAAAAATATGGAACGTCACTGTAAAACTTGGAATAAATATGATTTTGAATGCAATGTTAGTCATTCAAAATTTAAGCAGAACCATTTCTATTGAGATATTTTAAAAAGCAGGTATAACTACTACAAAGTTGGTTATTATAGCAGTTTTATCTATATGTATAGGTACTATTTCTCTCATATGTGGTATTCTTGTAATGTCATGACAATTTCAATTATTACATATATTTATAAACGTTTGTCCTTAAAATAAAACTGATATAATTACATAATAAATGGCACTAAGGCATAATGGTTAAAACTGTTGGAGTGCACCGTTTGATAAATTGTATATTTTAGGTTGCCCAAAAAAGAAGTTGAAGAAATCCTAGGCGAAGCAGAAGTCTTACAACAATTTGAAATCAATAGAGGAAGAAAACGAGTACCAGTAGCAGGATGTAGATGTACACAAGGTTTGTTAAAAAGAGAGGCTTTATTTAGAGTGCAAAGGAGTGGAGAAATTATTTATGAAGGTAAATTATTGAAACTTTAAAAAAAAAAAATCCATTTAAATTATTCTAGGCTCTCTATCATCAATGAGGCACTTAAAAAGCGAAACTGACATAATAAAAGCAGACACAGAATGCGGCTTACAATTGGCTGATGAGGAGATAACATTCGAAAAGGGCGATAAAATTATTTGCTTTGAAAAAAACATGGTTACTCAGGAAACTGATTGGGATCCCGGATTTTAGGAATAACTCATTTATTGAATTTTGAGAGTTTATATGAATGTTTATGAGCATTAGTATTTTGTATAAGGACAAATATTGTTTATTAAATCATTTTTTGAACATTTCAAGAAATGTTTTTCATTTCTTTAGCCTTTACTAGAAAACTGATGGTTATTGGTACATCCAAGTAAGACATTATCAAACTTAATTAAGTCTTATTGAATTTAATAAGACACAACTCTTCATGTCTTCAAAAATTGTGGAAAAGAAAAAAAAATCTAACAGGAGGAAGAAAATCCGTTGTGGAAGACGTGTTTTGTGGGCATGCGGACGAGGTGACCTATCCAGCGAAGTTGGTTCTTATTGATGGGGATGCGATGTTGGACTTCAGAGTCAATGATTGAATTCGTTGACGAACGGCTCCCAACTTATGGGTAGTGTTCTACGTTCTGCAATAAATGGTACGGTAATTTATAGTTATATTTGGAGCTTGAGGATTAGTGCTCTATGCACAAGAGTCTAGTCGTAGGAATAAATGAGGATCGCTGCGGTGGGCGGAGAGCTCATATCGTACCTACCTAATTCGTAATAAGTGCTAGTCTTTGTGTTGGTATTTTAGAAGAAACAGAGCAAATCAAAACTAACCCAAACTAACCTGTCCTCTTGATAATCGAACGAGAATCGAACCCGGGCCCACTTGCTCCAAAAACCGTACGTATCCTAACTAGGATACACCATGCCTTTGAAAGTAATCCTAGAAATTGAAGTAATAAAGGGCGCAAAATATGACCTAACCTATAACGATACATGGCTCCGCCTACCACACCGATCCTCAATAATTCCTACGATTAGACTCTTTTCTCTATGCGGGTTGGTGCAGAATCTACGTCTTGTTAAAGTTGACCTTGTGGCCTAGAGTACTTAAGCCGGCAACGCCGCTCGAGAGTCGGAATAGCAGCCCTCGGTGCAGGGCCCAGCAGTTGATATGGTAAGCGTACCACAGGGTCACAGATTAACTCGTCCTAAAGATAGGAAACTTCCATGTAAAATGTTCGTTCGGAGCTGTCTAAAAAATTACACGTATGAGAGTTGCATGACTGCCAAAGCCATGCGGCGCTAGTATAGCAAAGCCACAAGCAAATGTCATTTGTGAAAGAATGTATAATTTGTCATTGTATTTGCCCATATTTGCCATTTGCAATTAGTCAGCAGTTTGATGTGTGTTAGTGTTCTTCTTATTATATGGTGTTCTTTATTTTACTTTCTATCAATTTTTGGTAAAACTTTGACTTCTTAATATGTTTTTCTCCAAACGTCGAAAAAACGTCACTTTATTAACTCCTGTCAAGATGTCAGAAATTTGATTTCTATGCTGCCAGGCAAATTCAGCGGGTTAACACCTGTCGAGGTGGTAGAAGTTTAATTTCTATGCTGCTTGGCAACCCCAGCGGCAGCAAAAGTACTTTTACTGCCGCTCGTACTTTTACTGCCGCTCAACCATTCACTTGCCCCCGAGCTTATCCCATTGGTTTGGAGAAAAAATAGCGTGTTGCATACGGAGTAGAAGCACTTTTTTGTGCTTCAGCAGTACGGCTCGCAAACCTACTGCTTCAGCACAAAAAAGTAGAGCTTCTACTCCTAATACAACAATATACTATTTTAACCAAAGAGACTTTATTTTACATGTAAACATTGTGGAAATGGTTTTAGTGATGGTATTTATTTGCAATTTTTGACAAGTTATTTGTGCACTAGACCCTTCAACTTTTTAGTGTTTTTTTTTTTCAATACGGTTTTCTTTTGTTGTGTGGAAGGCTGTTCTGTTAAAGAAGGAGATAGTACTGAAATGTTGTTTTATTTCCAAAAAATAGGGTTTAATCATAAAATGAAATTGATTAGACAAATTATTTGAAAAAAGACGTGACTACTGCCACAATACCGGACACACCGAAGTGCGCACTAGCGCCACCATGCTGTGGCAGTCATGCAACTCGCTGCATGAGTAAGAGAAGGATAGGAAAAAAGGCCTGAGTTTCCTATCTTTAGGACGGGTTAATCTGTGCACAGGCTGCTACATGATGACAGCGGTTGTTTTTTTCGTGTTTCCAGCGAAAATTACTGGTAAAAATAGTACATTTTCTTCCGATTAATGACCTATCGACTCTAACCACTTTAGTGAAGTGCTCCCACTGGGTATTAGTGCGGATTTTTAGTGTGAAAACGGTGAAGACCTTGGCGGCCTGCAAAACCCAGAACCCAACCAGGTTTTTGCGTTTTGGGTGAATGCAACGGGACGGTAGCTTCTATATTGCCAGATCCACTACACCATCAGTAGACTGTAAGATATTTTTTTTCTTTTAAAAAAAGTAGACTTTTTGGATTGTTTTGATGATTTTGTCTTCTCTTCACATTTTTCAATCATGGCGAATTTAATCAGCAACAAGACTCAACAAATCAGTTATTAAGATTGCAGCAGCAGCAATTATTAAATGCAGGAAATACAGCTTCGGCACCAATGATTATGCATCAGGCCAGAATTTCCCCTTCATCTCACTTTTCTTTTCAAGCTGAGGACTGGGAAGACTGGAAAAATTCATTTAATAGATACAAAAAAAAACAGTCCATAGTAATCGTTCATCAGAACAGCAAGTTGACTATCTGATCAGTTTGTTAGGCACAAAAGCTGAGAAAATCTTAATATCATTCCATTTAATACAAAGACAACAAACAGATTTCAACACTTTAATATCAAAATTTGACAGTTATTTTATCCAAAAGCAAAATCTTGTATATGAGAGGGTGAAATTTTTGCAAAGGTCACAGATCCTAGACGAGCTTTGTGATTCTTTTATTACAGATATCACCTTTATGGCCCAAAATTGTGAATGGGACAATTTAGAGAAAGAAATGATCAAATTAAGAATATTAGCAGGGTTAGCGGATAATAAATTATCAGTACACCTACAAGCACGCCTAGATGACACATTGGAAGATGTGGTAAGGCGTACTAGATTAGCCCAAACATTGCACAAGCAACAGTGAGAGCCAATCTCCCTACTTCCAATCCAATTGTTGAAGATAAGCTGGAAGTTGACTACATTCAGAGGAAGGCGCGCCCAAAATCATCCAATAAGGGCAACTCAAATTATGAGAAAAACCCAAAATCAAACACGAGACAAAAGATGGCCGAAAATGTGGAAGAACTCCAAGGCACACATTCGTTGATTGTCCTGCATTTGAACATCTTAGAAAGCGGATCAATAATCTACAAGATAAAGGAAACAACACCTTGGTGTGCACCAATGGTGGTAGTGCCCAAAAAGGATGGCACTGTCAGAACATGCGTAGACTATACAGTTCTCAATAAAAATGTGGAACGAGAAAGATTAGTATTACCGGGTGCTGAATAAGCATTGTCCCAAATTGAGGCAGGTTCTCAGTATTTTAGCAAGCTAGACGTCACATCTGGATTCTGTCACATTCCACTGGATAAGGAATCGCAACTGATAACAACATTTATAACGCCATTAATTTGGTCGCTATGCATTCAAACGCTTGCCGATGGGAATCACTTCGATAACAGAAAGGTTTCAAAAACAAAGATTTTGGAAGGAGTAAAAGGAGTAGTCAATGTAGCAGATGACATATTAGTATTTGGTAGGAATAAGGATGAACACGACTTTCGTTTGAAGGCTTTGCTACCACGTTTCCAAGAAAAAAAAATATAAAAGTAAATAGAAACAAAATAAATGCGAATTTGGCAAGAAAAAAGTGACATTTTTAGGCCATACCGTTTCAGATTCAGGAATTGAAATCGATGAAGGGAAAATTCGAGCCATTTTAGACATGCAACCCCCAATAATATAAGCGGAGTTAGAAGGCTGATGGACTGCATACAGGTTAACACTAAATTCCTTCCAGGATTAGCGGAAATGTCAAACCCTATAAGACAACTGTTACGAAAAAACAACGAATTTATGTGGGTAGAGCCGCTACAACGAGCATTTGAAAGCATAAAAAAAAACTGTTACGGTTACGTCAGATCCACATTTTACTCCAGGACGTCCAACAAGAGTCATAGCGGACGCCAGTTCATATGGATTGGGAGCAGTTCTGGAACAAATGGATAAAGATGTCTGGAAACATATCGGCTATAAATCCAGAACAATGTCCGACACAGAGAAACGATATGCGCAGATAGAGCGACAAACATTGTCTTTCACTTGGGCCTGCGAAAAATTCGCCCAATACCTTCTTGGTCAAACATTTATGCTCCTGACTGACCACAAACCCCTAGTGGAACTTCTAGGAAGCAAACAATTAGCTGATCTATCAGCTAGAATCCAAAGATTCCGAATGAGATTGACGCAATTTCCGTATGATGTACAGTATATTCCTGGCAGGAACATGATAATGCCTGACGTATTATTCACAGCTCCACTAAAATCCAGTGATTATGGAGCAGATATTTTACTCGTCAACGAACTCATAGAAAAAGTGGAAGATTTTGCAAATCATATTCGTGAATCAATGCCTATCAAGGACATGCGCATAAAAAGTATCTTGGAATGTCAGAAGAATGATGTCGAAACCAAAAGAATAATAACTTATAGGTATACAAAATGTTTGGCCACACATTAAGGATTTACTAACCGAAGATAAAATTTTCTACCAGTAACAAGGAGAGATGGTTATATAGGATAGCTTAGTAACCCGCAACAACAGAGTATTCATCCCGACGACATTACGCAAGGAAATATTGGAAAAAATACACGAGGATCATTTGGGCATGTCGAAATGTTTAAGCCTAGCCAATGAAACGGTGTGGTGACCCAAAATCTCAAAACAAATAAAAGGAATTGTAACCAATTACTTAACATGCATTCAATACAGGAATAAAACAATTGAACTAATGATTCCTTCCCCTGTGCCAGATTACCCCTGGCAGATCGTCGTAGTTGATTTATTCGTGGTCAGTGGCAGTCGACTATTTCTAAATATTTATAGAGGTTAACAACATGAATTCAGAAATTACTGTAGATGTCATAACGAAACTGCAACCTCTGTTGTCAAGACAGAGAATACTAGAGACCATTAGATTAGATAATGGGACTTGTTTTTCTAGCCACATA